TGATATTATTGTGTTTTGGCATTATGTGGGTTATTTGGGGTTTTTTTTACATTTGTAATTTACAGAAGCTCTGTTATGACAGACAGATGCTCTGCAAAACAAAGAGAAATCCAACGAATGTTGGTATGTATTGGGACCATACAAATGCGAGCATTAGTTTATCTATCATTCTGGCATAGCTCTTTCCACACAAATGGTATTGCCTGGTAATGAGACAGATTCTGCAAACCTTGCCTAGAACCCAGGTGTCCTATGCCCTGGTCAAGTGGCCAAGCCCCTAGGCTATTAGCCTAAGCAGATGGGAGGGTTCTTCTTTCTCTCAGTTCTAAAAGCCATATGTAGAGGGCAATCCTAATTCCCCACAGAAAGAAACAGAATCCTAAACTGTCTAGAAGTATTACACACACCACAATTTAGGTGGAGGAAGGGTAAATAGGATCTGGCCCAACCTGAACAAGTGTGGCAATATGTAGTTTGCAGCTATGTTTGGCTTAATGATCCTCAGTGGAAGTCTGTTTCCACTGAACGATGACATTATTAGTGGCACTTTCCTGCATAGGGATCTTGGAGTGTGTCAGGAAGGAACATATCCCCTGAGCTTTAAAGTACTTCAGTATTTTCAGCCTTTCCTCAGATGTTGTTCAGGCTGAAGTTCTGTGAAAGCCTGACTGAATAAAAGTGTCGTGATATCACAGAATCACCAACTCAATAGAGAAGTAGGAATGGAAGTGACCTCCAGAGGTCATTTAGTCCATAGATTTCATAGACATTCGGGGTGGAAGGGACATTGTGAGATCATCAGGTCCCGCCCCCTGCCCAAGGGGCAGAAAGTCAGATGGGGTCAGATCATCCCAGCAAGATAAGCATCCAAGCACTTCTTACAAGAATCCAGAGTAGTTGCTTCCACCATGTACCTGCTGGGTGGGCATTAGGGATGGAAGGGACCTTGGAAGATCATCGAATACAGCCCCCTGCCCCAGGAGCAGCAGGTCACCTGAGGTCAAACGATCCCAGCAAGATAAATGTCCAAATCTCTGTTAAAGGAGTCCAGAGTAGGTGCTCGCACCACTTCTGGGGGGAATCTGTTCCAGACTTTGGAGACTCGGACAGTAAAGAAGTCATTCCTTATGTCCAATCTAAAATGGGCTTCCAGCAACTTGTGAACATTAGACGCTGTCTTCCCTTGGGGCGCCCTGATGAACAGCCATTCTCCCAGTTCTTGATGCGCACCCCTTATAGACTTATAGGCTGCACCAACTCCCCTCTGAGCCTTCAATTCTCCAAGATGAAGAGTCCCATGACTCTCAGCCTCCAGAACACCTGTTCTTTTGACCTCTAATTATGTGTGTGGCTCTCCTCTGAACTCTCTCAGGCTTTTCAACATCCTTTTTAAAGTGTGGAGCCCAGAATTGGATGCAGTGCTCCAACTATGGCCTCACCAAGGCCGAGTAAAGAAGGAGGATGACTTCTTGAATCTTTCTTGAGATGTATCGGTAGAAGCAAGAGAGAGTTTTATTTGTCAAGTCAGAGTTTTATTTCCTTTGCCAGCTCTGGCATCCAATTGGCGGCTCATGTTCATCTTGTGGTCAATCATGACCCCCAAGTCTCCTTTGGTCATTGGTGGTTTTATTGAGTGTAGCACTGCCAAGCCTATTAATATGATGCAGGTTTTTTCTCCCAAGGTGGAGCACCTTGCATTACACAGAACTGAATGGAGTCATGCTGGGGAGGTGCACCCCAAAAAATTTTCTCCCTCTGGCTTGTTCTGCCCTGCCCCCTTCACTCCCCACAGCCTTACCTGCTGGGCAGGAAGGAGGGAGGTGCTGGTAGTGCATGGTAGATCTTGGGTAGCTTTTAAATGCCAAAGGTAATCTTCTACTTAAAAAGGTTGGAGACCACTGCTGTACTGTGACTGCACTTCTCCATAATTTGGTATCATCTGCAAATTTAGCCAGTCTGCTTATGACACCTGAGTCCACATCATTTATGAATACATTAAAGAGTACTGGTCTGAGAACTGAGCCCTTGGACATGCCACTGGTCACCATGCACCATGTTGACTTGGTTCCATCAACTATCACTCTCTGGGTCTGACCATGGAGCCAGTTCCCCAGCCATTGGACCATATGGTTGTCAAAGTGCAATTTCCCCCATTTCACCATGAGGACATCATGGGAGAACAACTCAAAGGCTTTTTTGAATTCTAAACATATAACATCAACCTCTTCTCTTCTGTCCAGGTGATGCATCACCTGGTCAGAGAAGGAAATGAAGTTGGTCAGGCAAGACTTACTTACAACAAAGGCATGTTGGCTATCTCTCAGAATGCTGCCTTCCATTAGCCTGTTATTGATGGTTTCTTTGATGATTTTTTCCAAGATCTTTCCAGGAATTGGTTTAAACTGATTGGCCTGTAGCTCCCTGGATCTTCCTTCCTTCCTTTCTTGAAGATAGGCATCACATTGTCCCTCTTCCAATCTTCAGAAACCTCTCCTGAACACCACGAGTTCTCAAATAGACTCGCCATTGCTCATGCTATGACGTCAGCCAGCTCTCTTAGCACTCTTGGGTATATTCCATCTGGACCACCTGACTTGCGGATGTCCAGCCTCGCAAACTGCTACCTTACAAGATCTTTGCCAATGATAGGCATATGATTGCCCTTACCCTGGTAGTCCTGTGTCGTGTCAGGCAGGGTGATCCCCTTGGGCTGGTAGAAAACTGACACCAGGTAATTGTTGAGAAGATTTGCTTTCTCCTGGATGCCTTCAGACTTGCCATGTATTTGAAGAAGGACTTCTTTATTTTCCTTGATTCCCACAGTCAGTTAGAGTTTGGTTTCAGCCTTGGCTTTTCTGGTCCGCTCTCTACAGGTGCAGGCCACTGCTAGTGGTAGTTCCCATCCTCCATCCCTTATAAGCTTCTCTTTTCAGATTCAAGAGGTGCATGAGTTCTCCATGGAGTCAAGGCAGTCTCCCAGCACTTTTGCTACCTTTTATTGGGCTACAGTGGACTGCCCTTCTCTTTGTAGGATCGTGTCCTTAAGGAGCAACCACTCATCATGGACTCCCCTCCCCATCAGATCATGGTCTTTCAGGCCTCAACAACCAACCTCTTGAGCTTGTGAAAGTCAGCTTTCCTAAAGTCAAGGATTTCTGCACTTCTGGCAGATTTGCCAGCTTTGTGATGGACAGAGAAAGCGATTAACTCATGATCACTGTCACCAAGCTTCACTTCAATCCTCAGGTGGTTGACTAGATCATCCCCTTTGGCCAGTACTAGATCCAGCAGTGCCTTATCTCTTGGCCCATAGACTTCTTGAGTCAAATGGAGCTCATCAATGCAAGTGAGGAAGCTTTGCGACTGATCAGATATGGTCGAACACACTTCCCATGAGATGTCAGGGTGGTTGAAGTTGCCCATGACCATCCACCGAGAGCGTGCAGCCCCTTCTACTTCTCTAGCAAAGTCATGGTCAAGCTCTTCCTCCTAGGTAGGAGGTCTGTAATGGACTCCTACAGTTATATCTCCTTCACCACATTCTCTCCATATTCTAACCCAGAAGAGTTCAAGTCACCCTCCTTGGGTGCCAATCTCTCCTTGGAGGGAACTGTACTGCTCCTTCACATAGAGAGCTAGATCCCCAACCTTCTTTGAAACATGATCCCTCCTTTACAAGATATAGACATCAATACCTGTGGTCCTGTCATACAGCAGGTCGCCGTTATCCCTAGGAGAGCATATTCATTTTTGCTTAGCAGATGGGCTAGTTCCTCCTGTTTGTTCCCCATGCTCCTGGCATTTGTATATAGGCAGCTAAGCCTGACATCAGAATCCTTGGCCTTCCCTGTCCCTCTGATTGAGGGAGATGCTTTTTTAATTCCAACAATGTCCCCACTACCAGGCAATTTAAAAAACAGGAAAATAAAATACCGTTGCATTCTGGTGTTCCTGGTGGTGACCAGTTTCCTTCCTTACATACTATTCTTGCAGGTCCGGTTAGGGTCTGACCTTGCCGGCACCGATAATGAATGATCTCTCCAGGAAAATACCGTTCCCTCTTTATTTCTGCAATCCAGCCATTAGCAATATCAGGTGGAGAGCCACATGTCACATCTGAAAAGAGATTCAGGGACCCTTACAAACACTGAAACACATACAAAAAGAACCTCAATTTAAATGGTCAATTTATGGGATGAAAGGTGTGAAAATCCTCTTCAGGCTTTCATTTATTTAACCAATCCTACCTATCAGAAGGTTTTTCATTGCAGAGGGGCAACACAACTACCGACTGTGAAATTCCTTGAGTTAGGATGCAATGCAAAGGCAAAATAATGATGGCTACAACTATATATTAGTAGGAGTTTAGGAGAATAAATGATAATTCCCAAAGCAACGCTTACACTGTTACAGAAAGTGCGTGTTACATAGTCTTAGGGAGCTTAGGTTTTCATAGATGTAACAGGTAACATAGCTTAAAACATGTAATATCAAGGCTTCTCTTTTGTAGTATAAAGGTGACTTAGGCCTGTCAACTGAAAGCGGATTCTTCATGAAAACTTAAGCTGACTGAAATAAGAATAAAACGTGAGCATGACAACTCTCCAGAACTAGGGAAAGTTAGACTCGGACAAATCAAGGTAACATTCTCCTATTTTCCAGGTTCTATGCTCACTTTTAGTATACTTGCAGCTTTTCTCCAGTTAAACCAAGTAGTCGTTCTCCCCACAGTAGCTTGTACCATCTCACATGTAGCTACTCTATATGCTTTCTGACCTCTGCTGTTCTGGATTTCTGACAACCATATGTCACCTCCCACCTTAAAGTCTGGTGTACAACCAGATACTGCCCTTTTCTATGTTTGTCCTAGATTGTCCAGGGAAAACACTTGGTTCTATGAGACGCAAGCTGTAGCAGGACACTAAGGTGCCTGCTACTGAGAGAGCTCGGAAGGCTCCTCAGGTGCTGGTTGCCAGGGCAATGGGAGGCAGCAAACGACCCACACCTGCCAGCAATCAGCTGGCTATAAAGGGCAAGGCCTGGCTCTTATGAGAGGGGGGAGTTGAGGTCAGTGGCAGTTTTTCCCTATTGGCATCGAAGACAGAAGAAGCTCCCTGCCAGCAGCCAGAAAGAGAGAAGTTCCTGGAGCAATGATGTGAGGAGAAGCCTGACTGCAGGTACCGCTAGCAGGGTTAAGGGTAGCAGCTCCAAGATGTCCGAGCAATGTCGTTACAGCCAAGTGGCTTAGGTTTAAGTTTTAGCCAAGAGGCTTGAGATTATGTTGCAGTTTGTTTAACACTGGTGGTTTGGGTGAGGCTATAAGGGGATGGAGGAGGCCTCATGGGGGACTCATGGTAGACTGAGGACCCCAGCCCAAGTGAGGCCACGGAGTTTGGGGGGTACAGACCCCAGCTCCAAAGCAGAGCCTGGCGAGGGGGCATCCCTGCAGAGGGAAGAGCCTGGCGAGGGGGTGCAGAGAGCCCCAGGAGAGGGGCAGAATTATGGAGAAGCCCCAGTGAGGGTGCGGAGAGCCCCAGTGAGAGGGGCAGCAGTAGGGAGAAGGCCCTAGTGAGAAGGGTGGCATACAGAGAAGGCCCTCAAGGCTTAGATACGCAGAACACCTGGAGCAGGAGAACTGTGGCCAAGTGGAGGAGAGGTAGCCTCCCTAAAAAATCACATATCATCAATGTCATGGCGGGCAAGAATAGGAGGGTGCAAGTCCAAAGCTTGGCACAGTAGAGGAGGCGGCAAGGGCTAGCGTGGCGACCCTGCTGTCCCTCCTGTTACACAAGCCTATCCTTCATTTTTCTACAATTGCCTAACCTGATAACAGTAAGGCCGACTCTCAGCCACTGAACACGTGCACAGATCCTAGATGTCTTTATGGCCTTCTGTTGCCTGGAAAACATGACATGTAATGAAAGACTGAAAGAATTAGGATGATTTAGTATCGGGAAGAAAACACAGAGAAGGTTTGATAACACACTTCAAATATCAGATGGATAAATATAAAAAGGATAGAGACAGACTTTGTGACTGTAGGGGCCTAACAGCAACGGCTTCAAGAGTCAGCAGAGAAAATTTAGGTTTTAGATTATGAAGGCATTTCTCTCAACAAGGGTGATTAAACATTGAAACAAGCTACCTAGAGAAGCTATGGACTCCCCAACCCAGGATATTTTCAAGAGCTGGGTTGGACAGACACATGTCTGAGATGGTTTATTCAGGAATTATCCTGCCTTGATCAGTGGTCTGGACTAGATGACTGTAGCAGGTGCCTGGTCCCAGTGGGGGCTGTGATGCCTGCTGGTGGCCATGCTTACTCTGGGCACATGGGCTCCCTCCACATCTTTCCCCCACATGCCATGCCTTGATGTAGATATTTAATTGGGAAAGAGAGGCTGCCCAGGATCCCCACTGTAAGCCCTTGTCTACAGAGTCTGTGGTCTCACATAACTGTCACCTTTAAGGCTCGATTTGTGGCCTCTGGCCTGCCCTGTAGCCATGCCCGTGCCTCACAAAAGTTACCATTCCATCACACGCTTGTTGGGACGTCGGCCTTCTCACCCTCTGCCCCTTTTCACTTGCTAGGCCATCTAGCTCAGGTCCACTGTGCCCGACTCGCCTTCTGGAAACCAGTCTCTGCCTCGCCCTCTTGGACTTTTATCTCTACCACTCCTGGGCTGTGGGCCCCGGCCCTAGACTCTCCCCTCTTTGGACTGTGGGGTCTCTAGTTCTATCTCTGACCTTGCTCAAGCTGCAGGTCTCCACCTCTTGCTTTACCTCACCCTGGCACTGGGCACCCAGCCCTGAGACTTGCCCTCTCAGGATACACAGCAGCTTCCACCCTGTTCCAGGGACCCCTCTGGCAATCTAGGACCTCCTTTCATCCCTAAGAGTCCAGACCCTAAACCTCCAGGATAAACTATAACAAAACCTAAGCCCACTCACTATAGTGTAAAATAACCCTACCAGGGGTTCAAACCCAGGTCCCTGGCTGCTCTACCAAGCTTCCCCCTACCCTGTGCTGTATCCCATACAGGTCAGCAATCATCCAGGCGTCAGCCAGAGGCTTCCCTATGATCCTGCCCCAGAGCTCTTTCTTCAGCACCATCTAGGCCAGACTGACTTTCCAGGCTCAGCCACAGTTTTTATATGCTCCCTAAACCATGCTCCCTTCTGGTCAGGTGATGCAGCAGCCACACACGGTGGCATTCATTCTGAGCCTAGTGATCAGCCTTGCTGTTGCATAGTTGCTGGTTTCTGGCTACCACTTTGTTATCTGTTGGTTTGATCTCTTACCTGCTAGCCCCCGACTGGCTGCAGATGTGCTCTTTGCCTTGAAGGGTAGCTTACTGTTTAGGCAGCAGCAATTTATAGCTGCATTCCCTCTAACAGATGACCCCTGATTAGCTGCTTGGCTCTAGGTGTTGCAGTTTCTTCCTTTAAAGAATTAGGACCTCTAAGCTCCCTGTTGCAATGACCAGTGACTTCTCTTCCAGCCCTACAGCCTTTGGTCCAGATCCTTTGGTCTGAAAAATCTTCTTGGGATCTGAGCAAGGAAAACAGCAGAACCATGGATGTGTTACATTGCAAATAGCCCAGGCAGCAGTGAGAGGCCTGTAGCAAGGTGAAGGCCCTAAAGCTTGCTTGGTAAATAGGAAAAGGAACATTAACTGCTGCTCAGGAGTTGTCCATGCTGCAGCTTCTTCATATGATCAGTTCTGTCCTGTTAGGGGATGCCAGGATATAGGGGTAAACCTGGCCAAAAACATAGTCAGCTATATAAAGCTTTGCAGGGTCAAAAGACATTTTGATGAACCAGGGCCTGCTCACCATCTAAGAACCCTCATTTTCCCATGCATCCCAAGGGGAAGACTCAAGGTCCTCTTCATCACTACCTCCAAGTAGCTTACAGCCCTCAATGTCATTCCAGTCAGCACTAGAACTGTAGCAGGTAACTCTAAGTCTATGCATTTTTTTCAGTTCACTGTTAAGCTCATGCCAGCTGTATCACTGGTGGATGGGAGTGAATCCTCCTTTTGCAGAATTTTTTTCCTTCCCTTACTCTCATAACAATGGAGATGCCCAAGATCCACATGGAGAGGCTGCCAGTCCCACCTCTCTTCATGTTCCAAATGCTCCCGTCCCTGGAAGGGCCACCCACTTCAGTATATTACAGGGTTGCTGGTAGGCTCAGCAGGTAGGTACAAATTGAAGCCAGGATTCTTGACAGCAGACTGCTCCTATGAACTGTGATCCTTTTCAATCTGGTCCAGCAACCATGGAGAAGTAGCCTCTCCTAGGCAGCTGATTACTCAGAATGAGGGAATATATGATGTCCTGGTCTTTAGGCCAAACTCAGTCCTGAATGTTATAGGCTCCTCCAAAAGCAAGACCACAGCAGGTGTTCCATACTCTGTGTTTGCCCACATTGTCTATGTCATTAGAATAGCCCCATTTTCACCTTATCTTTTCTCCTGACAACTCTTGTTTGAATTGTTTCTGAACATTTTTAGGTTGCCCGGACTATTTCTGAGCCTGCAGATAGGTGTTTGGCAATACTAATATTTACTCATTCATCGTGTTGCGGTACAACCATGTGTCCATTTACACAGCCACCAGTGTTTTCTTTCTTAAGTGGTTCTGTTACAACATGGATGTTTTTTTATTATCTCAGCTGCAGTTTGTCCATACAGTGTCTGCAGCATGTCTTCAGTCTTTCACATGCATATTATCTTCATTGCAACTATTCTCCTAATGTCCATGCTGCAATCCCAGCCCCAAATTCCCACAGCCTCTGCCCCTCCTACCACACGTTCCAGTCTCTGCCTCTTCCCTCCCCATCCTCCCCTAGCCTCTGCCTCTTCCCTACAAACCCCCTCGGTCTCTGCTCCTTTTCCACCCCCACCCCCAGAACACAGCATGTAGAAGCTCAGCCTTTGCTTGTCCATGCAGCAGTGCTGCAGCTCCTGGTGGCTGGGCAAATAAAGCAGCAGTGTTGGTGCTGCTGATTGGCAAGTGCCAATAAGAGATTCGAGCGATACTGTACCTGACAGTAAGGGAAAGGGAAGAGGTGGGCAGGGGGCAGAAGCTGCAGAGGAGAAGTGGGGGTGCGGGAAGGAGGCTGCTGTGAATCTGACTCTAGCCTTGACCTGGGCTCCGAGCTAGTCAGATCCGCAGTAGCTGCCTGTTCTTCTTTCTGTTCTGTATGCAAATATAAGCCAAGAGGCTTTTCTCCATATGCTGACTGGTGGGGTGCAGGGAAGACCTCGTATTCGAGTAAATATGCCATATAGTCACTGGATTATACTGCAAGAAAGGAATATGGTCCATAACATCTTTGGTCCACATTTCATAGTATCATAGAAAATGAGGGTTAGAATGGACCTTGGAAGGTCATCTAATCTATCCCCCTGCTCAAAGCAGGACCACCCCGAACTAGCTGAAGCTTTGTCTAGTTGGGTCTTAAAAAGCTCCAAGGATGGAGATTCCACAACCTCCCTGGGTAACCTGCTCCAGTGTTTTAATGCCCTGCTAGTGAGAGAGTTTTTCCTAATATCTAACCTAAACTTCCCTTGCTGCAACTTGAAGCCTTTGCTCCTTGTTCTGTCATCTGCCACCACTGAGAACTGTCCAGCTCCATCCAATTTGGACCCCCACTGAAACCTACTTCAGGTAGTTGAAAGCTTCTATTAATTCCCCTCACAATCTCATCTTCTCTAGACTAAATTAGTCCAGTTCCCTCAGTCTTTCCTCATAAGTCATGTGACCCAGCCCCCTCACCATTTTTGTTGCCCTCCACTGGACTCTCTCCAATTTGTATAAAGCCTTTCCGCAGTCAGGGGCCCAAAACTGAGCACATTACAGGCAGTCCATGACTTGCAACTTTTCGAGTTACAACACATGGTACTTATGACCTTTATAAACGTACACCCTGTTTCGATGTTCCGACGCACGTCTCAACTTTTTGATGCTCGACACAGCTGTGTCCACCTGGTAAGTCTGGTGTGGTAGAAGGGGAGGGAGGAGGGAAGGGGCGTGGGGAGGTGGGGCAGAACAATGCCCCTGCAGCGAGGGAGAGATTGGGGCTGGAGCTGGGACAGGGGTTGTGACAAGCACCCCAAGGCCAGGGCTGGGGTGGGGCGGTGCCCACCCCTGCTCCCATAGCTGGTCCAGGAGAGCATGGAGGGGCATGTGCTCCCAGATCTGCATGGGGTGGGTAGGGCTGGGGCTGCACCAGGCTGCACTCAGGGCTGGCAGCGGGAGCTATGGAGGGGCTAAAGTTAATTTTTGGGTGGCTGCAACCCACCCATACCCTCGGCTCTGCTACCCGCCCCGTCCCAATCTGGGGACACTTCCCCCCCACCTCCACATGCCTTGCCACTGCCTCTGCTCACCCAGTTGGGGCAGGGTGGGGCAGGGAGGCCAAGGATGAAGCCACAGCTCACCTAGGAGGCACGGGGAGCCCTGGGTGGCTTCCTCCACTGCACGCTTGGCTGGGGGAGCAGTGGGAGGGCACAGATCCCACTCCCTGCACTTTTTGCCGCCCACCCAGAATGCAGTGCAGCACAGCCCTGGCCCTACCTACCCCATGCAGATCTGGGGGCACATGCACCCACCCCCATGCCCTCCCAGACTGGCAGCAGGAGCAGCAGTGGGAGCTGCCACACAAGCCTCCAGATGAGCAGCTTCCTAACCAGTGGTGTGCAGAGGCTGGATTTGTCCCCTCCCCACACGTTCTGCCTCCCACCCTGGATGGGCATTGCTTGCCCCAGTCCCTGCCTCACTGCAGGGCCTTTGATCTGCTTCTCCAAGCCCCTTCCCTTCCCTCCTTCCCCCCACCACAACAGACTTACCAGCTGGACACAGTTGTGTCAAGCATCGTAAAGGAACCAATCCCCCATTTATAACATTGTTCCTATGGGAAAATTGGTTCTGAGTTACAATGTTTCAACTTGAGATGCGGTTTTCAGGAAAGAACAAATTGCATCCTAAATCTGAGGACTTCCTATACTCCAGATGAGGCCCCACCAGTGCTGCACAGAAGAGAATAATCATTTCCCTTGACCTGCTGGCAACACACCTACCAATTCAGCCCACTATTCCGTTAGCCTTCCTGGCATCAAGTCGCATTGCTGGCTCATATTCAGCTTATAGTCCACTGTAAGTCCCAGGTCCTTTTCGGAAGA